GGGCCGGTGTGCCAAGGATGATGTTGTGAGCGCAGTCGATGTTGACGACGACGAACTCCACTTCGAGCTTGGCTCTATGGAGCCCGTCGCCGAATAGTACCGGGAGGGTAATGACCCCCTCGGAATTAATAGTGTCTCCGGTGAAGCCGGTGAGAGGGGTCTTGATGGGCTGAAGGGACCCCCTCTCCAGATGCAGCTCTCTGAATGTGCTAAGGTACATTACATTGATGGAGCTGCCCTTGTCAATGTAAGTTCGGTGGATGATGGTGTCATTGATCTCCGTACGGATGACGAGGGCATCCCTGTGCAGAGAGGAAGCCGGGGGGAGATCGGCGTTGGTGAAGGTGATGGGTTCCTCCCTCAGCCGCTTTACCGGGGGCATATGAGTGACTTCCCCCACGTATAGTGATTGAGCCCACTTCTTCCGCTTGTTAGTGGAGTCTCCTCTTGTGTTGCCTCTGGTGATCATATGGATGTGGCGCTTTTTCTCCTGGTACTGGCTGTACTCCTCCTCCTCATTGAGGTTTCCAATCTCCCTTTTCTTACCCTTCGGGTCGCCGAGGGGGATGGTGTTTGGGTTGATCCAAGCGTTTGCTTTCTTAGGGAGTCTCCTGGTAGTGAGGGGTCCCTTGAGGCGGAGGGCCCCTGATGAATTGGGACAGGTGGCCTGCCTGTATCAATCTTTCAATGGCCGTCTTCAGCTGATGGCAGTCGTCGGTGTTGTGCCCTTGGTTGCGTTGGAACCGACAATAAGGATAATTGGGGTTGATGGCGTACACCTCCAGGGGTGCGCGAGAGTCGCGCTCTACAAGTCCCCTCTCCTCGGCGAAATCTAGGATGACACTGACGGGGTGCGTCAAGGGAGTCCGAGGGTGCTCCAAAAGAATGGGCTGGGCCCAAGCCTTCGGGTTTCCTTTGTAACCTCCCCGGGCTTAGCTTGGGAATGCCGGGGGCGATCACTAGGGGGTGCGGAGACCTTGGATTGATTATGGGAAGCCCCCGGCCCCTGGTTACCATTGTCATCTGGCCGGGGGCGTTGCTGATCGGGGTTGTGATGGCACTTTTCCACCTCCTCGGCCTCGGCGTACCGGTCCCCCCGCTGCAAGGCCCTTATGTAATCGCGGGGAGGTTCGATGATGAGGCTCCTTGAAAAGTTCCCAGGGCGAAGGACTGTTTGAAGGAGGGCCAGGAGGGTCCCATCGTCAGTGCCATCAACTTTGTCAGCCTCCGTCTTCCAGCGTTCCAAGAAATCCCGAAGAGTCTCCTCCTTCCTTTGTCTCACCGTCAGCAAGTAGGAGAAATGTTTTCTTGACCGGCGCCTTCCTGCAAATTGCATCAAGAAGTGTTGGGCGAGTTCTTGCCACGAATCAATGCAGCCTTCGGACAATCGGTTGAACCATTCATACGATGGTCCCTCTAAGGTGGAGAGGAACCAGCGGCACAAATATCCGTCCGATGCCCCCACAATCATCATGCTGTTTTGGTAGCGGCTGTAATGTTCCTGGGGGTCCGTCTTTCCTTCATAGGGCCTGATGGGTTGCCCCCGGTATTTTTCCGGAATTCGGGCCGCCAATACCCTTGGGGTAAATGGTGTCCTAGTCGGGAGTTGGATGACGGGTTCCCCGGAGCCTTCGGCTATTCGTTTTTGCATTTCCTCCATTTTGGCCATCATGGCCTCATACTTGGGATCTGCATGAGGGGTGGTGACGGCAGTATGTGCCCGATGGGCCTCCATTTCATCAAGTCGGTGCTGGAGGGCCGCAATAATCTCGTCCCTGGGATCCTTCGGAGGGGCCTCTGTCCCGTGTGAACGAACATGGGCCGAGTGGGCCTGATTGATTTGGTGCCTTGCGTCATCGGCACGAAGTGGTGCCTTGCCTTTGTCCTGATGGGGACGCCTCTCGTGTGCTCTTGAGACGGATCCCCGCTCTCTTGGGGCCTTTGGGACGCCTTCACACCGAGGTGGTCTTGGATCCCTCGGCGGTCTTGCGCCCCTCCGAGCCTCTCAAGGGCTGAGGTCCGAGGCCTTTCTTTGTTTGCACCATGGCGGTCCCGGGATTAGACCTCCTGAGAGGCGGTGTCCTGGGCCACGACACCCTCATTGTTCCCCACCCGAAGGATAGGTTTCGTGAGGGGTAGTGGTGGTTGGAGCGGTATGGCGTTCTCCCTGACCTGTGGTTGAAGGGGCACCAGAGTGCCGAAGGCACCCGGGTTCTGAGTAAGTGTCTGGATGAAGGCGAAGAACGCCGATTGCACGTCAATGGTAAGGACCGGAGGGCTCACTTGGTTTTCGCTCCGGTCCTTTTTCCTGGCCTCGATGCCAAGGCGGGCATCGAGGGCATTTTGTTGGAGATGAAGGCGTAGGTCGACAGCCGTCTGATCCAACCCGGTGATGATGCCTCCCTCGGGAGACCTGTTAGAGGCCTCGGGGACGTTGACTTCGCCGAGGGCCAGGTTCCTGTCCTCAACGTTCTTGGAGTTGGCACGAGTTGTTCTCACCATTTTTGATAGGTGTTTTGTGTTTTTTCAAGGGGGAGGGTTTCTCACTTGATTGTTCGAACTCTCAATGAAAGCACCAAATGATGGATAAGTGTACCCGTGGGTATCTATCCGAGGGGTTACTGCGGGGAGTAACTAGAGAGAAGTCAGAGCAAAAGTAAGAGAGAGTAGATATTGCTGAGAATGTGTTGAGTGTATTCAACATGATTTACAAATGGGGAAAGGAGTGCTATTTATAGTAGTAATAAATGCTAGATAGGGACATGTGTCATCATTCTGGTGGTCGAGGGGTCACCTCAGCGGGGTGGCACTGCACTCGCATGTGGCCGCATTAAATGCGGTGGTTGGATGTGACGTCTGTACTTGGTACGTCGATCCGGCGCATGTGGGTGGGAGATTCTGTCGAGGAGACGCCTTCGGTCGTAGATGATTGGCCGAATGCTCTTCATACCGGGGGCCCCTAGGTGCCGAAGGCTACCGTTTCGCTGCTTTCTCCCGGACACTCTGAGTACTTTGAAGAAGCTGTGTTGTGCATTTATACCCCTTCGGCCAGGGGGCAAAGGCACCCCAATGCTCGTCGTGGGCTGCTTGGCACTTGGAGCGCTGCAATTTGGGTCTGCCATGCTTCCTGGGCCTGTTGGGCCTTTGCTACAATAGTGGGAGTCTATTGGCCCGGGGTTCCTGGGCCATATACTCCATCAATTCCGATTAATCTACGTAGTAAAATAAATTTTTGTCTAGTTAGAGCTTCTGAAAGCCTTGCTGAAAATCTATAGAGTAATAGACGGTGTGCGTTCTTTTCCTTTCCAGCTCTGCCGCACAGAGAAAATCCATGTTTCCGTCGGAGTGAATACGTATACTTCAAAGTCTATTTATATGATGTGGCAATCCATTTTTTAGCAATTCATACTTCCATTGGAGATGCTCTTATACACGCAGTATTATAATTAGCTAGCTCATATTAATTTTGTAATGACAAAATAAAACACCTATCATCAACTTTTTTTGAAGGAAAAATACTTAATTATCATTAATCAAATCATTTTGTTCAAAACATGAATAATGAAATTAGGAGGAACTGAAAACCAAAATCGGCAACCAGACACAGAACACGCAGCATGGGCTAGCCCATGAGCTACCCTGTTCGCAGATCGCCTAATATGACCAAAGGAAACCTCAGAAATTATTGAACAAATATCTCGAACATCTTCAACTATCACACCAGCCGCAATTTGTTTAGTTTGTTTAGTGTAAAAACCATTTTTATAATATGTGTAAAAAGCATTGTTTATGATCAAATGATAGCATAAATTGTGTCCTAATTAATTACTATATTTAAGAAAAAAATATTCATGCTAGTTGAGAATATAAGCCACCTGGGAGAGAAAAACAAAGAACAGAAAAATGTAATATAATTCATATCCTAACCTGAAGCAGGTTGCCAATGATTCAGTAGAGGCCAATGATTCACCTGGGTATGTTCGATCGCCGTTCTCCGTGAGAGTGACTTTGGAGATTCCCCAATGCTTTACCCTTCCGCAAGCTTCACAATGCGATCCAATGAAACCTTGGGAGGCGACGAAGAAATATGTAACTTGATGAAGATGCAGAAAGAAGTTTGAGCGATCCGTTTTTTCCAGACATAGAGTGAATCCTTTTTCACTTTAGAACAGAAAGGAACGCTGCAGCGGATCCACTAGCATCGATCTGGACGCCGACGTTCGTAGCTTGGGTCCATCTTCTTCGTATTAGAGTAACCTTTGTGTTCGGCGATCTACCAAGAGAATCCACAGAACGGTCCGGTAGATAGAGCAAGATTTGGATATGGAAGAAAGAAGAATGATGTTGGTGAATAACTCCGACTGCGTAGGATGCCTTTGATTGTCGTGAGACATACATTCAGCCGATCATAGAGTAAGAAAAGTTTAGATTTTGAAGAGCTCGTGCTAATAACGTGTTATGAATGGACTCAAGAGTCATCATCTTCGTTAGCACATAACACATATACACACAGGGAAGAATAGGATTAGGACTACACTAGTTAATGAGCTTAACCCTAAGAATACGTATGGACCGAGGAGTAATGGACATCCACATATTACGTAACAATATACCAATTGTTTTAGTTTATTAGTGTGTAATAATTGAGTAATCGAGCAACGTAACTTTAATATAGTAATTAATTAGGACACAATTTCAATGTTTACAAATTTAATTAAAGTCGTTGAGTACATTTTTACGAATTGAAAAACACTTTTATAAGCGACGCAAAATACCGTGTGATGGCTAGCTGCATTAAAGAATATTGAATTATATGGTCCAAGAATTCTAACAATTACGGACAACTGTAGATGCTTTTATGAAAAAATAGTTAAAATGATGCATTACCCAACCCCTTGCATATCAAACATTTGGCCGAGCCTTTTACCAAGGAGTTCCACCACGGACCCCATGTGTTCTTCATGCACCCTTACTTGGAAAAATTGACAAGAATAATCTTTCACCTTTACGTAATCCCAGAATAATCTCACTTTTCCATCTCATCTTCTTTGACCTGTTGATGATCTTACTATACCAAGTTTTTTACCCTTTATTTGAAAACCTTATATAAATGATCTCATTTTTCACAAATCTGCTCAAAATGATCTCATGTTTCATTTTTTCTTTTTTACTCCCTAAAATTTTTCTTTCTTTATTTACATCCCTAAACATTTTATTATTACTTTTTCTATTGTTTTGTTCTCTCATGAAGATGGGGTGCAAAGTTTGGTAAATGAGATTATTGTCTTAAATTTTTTATTTCTCGTTCAAACTTATCAATAACCGGCTGATTCGGGCCAACCCGACCCAATTTGCAATCCAAATTTGGAGGATACTTCTCCTATCTTTCGACCAGGTCATCTGTCTCACTTCCGGCAATCTCTGGGAAGAGACAGCATATCCGCATCTGAAAAATGGCTCTTCTAGTTAGAAACGCCCGCCAGTTAGCCCCGGCGGCGCCTTTTATACAACGGGCAGCCACGATCCACACCACTCTCCCGGTCTTCTCGCCGCAACCGTCGTCCACACCGACGACATACACACGCCCTCCCCCTCCGTCGACTTCCTCTCCGTCGGGCCTTTCCAAGACGGCTGAGTACGTCATCTCGAAAGTTGACGATCTGATGAACTGGGCGCGTCGCGGATCCATCTGGCCCATGACATTCGGCCTCGCTTGCTGCGCCGTAGAGATGATGCACACCGGAGCTGCGCGCTATGACCTCGATAGATTCGGCATAATTTTTAGGCCCAGTCCGCGTCAGTCCGATTGTATGATCGTTGCCGGAACCCTCACCAACAAGATGGCCCCTGCTCTTCGCAAGTGCGTATACCAATACATTAATTTCTTCTCTGTTATCTCTTAAGAATATAAACCCAGATATGCATATTAACAGCTTCTGTATTTTTAAGGCTGACTGGCTGCCTAATGTGAATTTACCGCACTTAATTTCTAAATGAGATAAATTAGGGCTTTGATTACTAATAACTGATGTCAGATGATTTGGATTATTGAGTTCTCGTGAATTTTTGTGTGTAGTGGCTAGTGGGATTTAGAACTTCAATTATGAGTCCCTGAAGGAGCTGACCGATATAGGATTATCTTAAAACTTCAATTTTTAGTATATTTGAGCCAAAGGTTAGTTTAGGGACATAAGTGAGCTCATGGGTATATACTTTAGAGGCAAACGTGCTCCTAAAAAGATTAGGACTTAGGAGTATGGGTTACCTTTCATAATTCAGGCCAATTTTGGGCATTTCATGCCCTAAACCGTTCTGTATATTTACACTCAAGGATTAGAAGTGAGAACTACCTCTCTAATCCCTTTGCATATCTGGATTTAGTATGCAACATTCTCTATCCTACCATGTAGCAAGGTTGGCATGGCGTGTAGGTAAGGCACGTTGCCAGCAAACCAGCCTAGGCGACAAGTAATATTTGAACATAATATATCATAAATATACATATCAATTACAAAATAATCATAATAGTTCAGAACCAGAGTTTAATAACTAATCCCAAATGCATATTGAACTACCATGGTTGAGAAATCTTCAAAAAATAGATCATTCATAAAGCCTTTTGTGCTGGATCTTTCGACGGTTACCAATGCTATTAAGTTGACAACCATGTTAATATTAAAAATGAGTATTAAATATAATTTGTAGTTTATATCTTTATTCTACTCTGTAGCTGGTTTGAAGAAATAGGTTTACATTGCCCAAACACATCCCAACTGTTTATCTATAATTTTCATTTCACGTGATACAGGGTAAAGTCTAAATTCCTTTTGTCACAACAAGTGGATCCATACATGTTCTACTTAAATCAATATTGATTCATTTAGATCTAGGCATTGTTTTAATCCCCGGAAAAATAAGGGTAAGGAAAGACAAGTTTAAAAATGCCATGGGAAGTTATATCCTTGTGTTTGGTTTTACCACACAATTTACACTGGAAAAGGAAGATTGATCACTTGATGTACCTGTTCAATATTTTCTACATGTGTTAGACTTTTTAGTATTTCTATAGTAGAAACACATTATGAATCAAAAGATAATAAAAATAATTTAGGAGGTGTTTGGATCTACTTCTTAAAACTGCTTTTGCTCCTTCAGGGACTATAAGCTGATATTGGAGTGTTTGGGTGAAAGTGTAAAAGTACTTCTAAGTGCTACAAATTGCTCTTAGAAGCAGTTTTTATAAGTTGGGGGAGACTAGCTTCTGGAAACTGATTTTGATTTTGATTCTGCTTCTGCTTTTTGAAAAGAAATAAAAGTAGAATCAATTCCGAACACCCCCTTATTGACTTTGTTGTTTGAACCAGTGATTTATATTTCGTTCCCTAGCAATTTCTTTTTTCCAAGCAGACCTTTAGTGCACAAAATTCTTTTAGTCTACTTTAGATTGTTTCTTCCTTCTGCTGATATAATAATATGAAGATCAGGTTAACATTCAGAAATGAACTTGAAATAGAATTTTGAGTTAAAGAATTTTAATCCACTCTGTAACCTGTATGAAGAACTGAATTGACTTGAAATTCTTATTCTGCATCCTTTTTCTTTTAATGGATCCGCTTTTTCAATAACAGGCCTGATGTTCATTCCTCTAATCCTCCCCATAATGAGTGAATGCTTTATCCTTCATGTAATCAAATGTCAAGAGAAACATGGATATAATCAATATGCAAATTGAAATATATTGAATGAAGTCTTAGGTCTCTGGTAAGACACTTAGACGTCCCACAGTAAGATGGAAATCGTGAAATACTTTTGTCCCAAAGTAATACATTCAAACATAAGTTTCATATTTTTATTTCTATAATCAATACTTATTTTTTTTATTAAAGGGAATCTTCTTTTTATGTAATGCTAGTGAGACGATCATATAGACAAGTTTTTTTGTTCTTCGAGCACATCTGTGACTTGTCTTATATGTATAAGCTAGAATGCACGGAAACGTAAAAGGGCCAGCGTTTCCCGTATCTGAATCGTACTACAGTTTCCAAATGCCAGAAACTCCCAAAACAGAGTGTTGGGCCCGTTCAGAATTTTCCAAAGTTTGGAAATGTGTTTCCGAAAAAATCAGAGTTTTCGCTAAAAATAAAAACTACAGAGTTTAAAAATTAGGATTGGGCAGAGTATGTGTTGTCTTCGTCTTCAACAGCTGGCCGTCTTCAGTGAACATCCTCTTAGCATCTGCACACAATGTCTTCAGCAGCTCAAGGTAAGAAGACCCAACCTTTTCTTCTTCTGAGGTGCTGACTGTATTCGTTGCCGTCTAGATGCACGAATAGTATGAGTACTGCTGGAGAGTGGAGACGTATCCTAATAGGTAACTTTAGTAATGATGTCCAGCTGACCCCTAATTAGTTATTTAAAGCATTTAAATATATAGGGAATAGGGGAGTACTGGAGTTGCTCCTTTACATATCTAAGGTGTAAGTTGATATTTCTGTGGTTTAAATGTCTATATATTATACTATGTATTATATATGTGTGTGTGTTTGTGTGTGTGTGTCTATATACACACACAAACATATACATATATATTTATTGATAAAAAATCCCTATATTTTTATATTTACGTGTTCCCCCCACACCGTTTCCTGTATTTTTTGTAAATGACGTTTCCGGCGTTTCCCGTTTCATATATTTTTAATAATCATCACTTGCATAATTCTTGCTCCAAGCCTCCAACACACCATATTATTGTCCTTGCCTTGATAATAATGAATTGAGGCACAAACGTAAAGTAGAACTAACTAGCACTACGTTTTTACATTATTTCCTTTACTGGTGCACACTTCCTATTTGTATTGAATGTTTTTGTTATTGAAAGACCATAGTGTCCTCATTTTAAGAATGTTTTACTTCTTCTGATCTATGGACTCTGAAACGCAAGGGCATCTAACCCAAATCTGAAAGCAGAAGGGGACCTAACGCCTTGTGTAGGTGGGGGCTTTTGGTGGAGAAGAAAGAGAATAGGTGATATTTATACAAATTTTAGCATTCTTAGAATTTCCTATTGCGTAAGACTCAAAGTGCCATGAGGCTTAAGCCTAATTTCTTTACACATATTGGACAATATAAAAAATACAAATAATGTAAATAGAATAAAATAACATAATCATCAAAAGTGAACAAATATCAGATCAAGACCAACAAAAATGAGGTTATAAACCCATCAAATTATGATGTTCAACCATCACACAAAGCAAATGTATATAAGAACATCAAATTATTTCCATCCAACTCATATAGTCATATATATGAAAACAAAACCATTTTAAAAGTTAAATCGTGCAGCTGCCCCATATTTGAAACAATTCATGTGTTAGTATTAAAACGATGCAGCTGCTCATATTCACATGATATTGATGATATGAAAAAGATTTTAGAATAATTTAAAACAATACCTGGTTGTCGTGAGCAGTAAAGAAAGAGAATAATAGAAATTGACCCAACCTTCACATAGCCTTGATGTCGAAATAGTGGAACGCAGATCTCTCGCAGCTTTTGTTACTCATGTAGAACTCGCAACCTTCTTTAGTCGCAGCCGTCGCCATTTGAAGAAGTAAACTCGCATGGTTGCAGTTTCTGAAGGCCTTATATACTAATATACGTAATTTTTAGAACATATTGTGTCTTAATTTTAGATTTGGGCCCAACTTCTTGTCTACATCCGCAGAACTTAATTGCCTACAGGACTGCCCTACCAGATAAGATGTGCCTCACAAAAGGCACATGCATACGCAATAGGCGTACACCTCAGATACCATTGCACAAGTTTCTGTATTGCTTAAATTGGGATACGCCTCGCATTGTAAGGAAGTTTTTACTTGAACTGAAATTTGCTGGTCTGGTCTGAATTGGTATGGTCTGTTAAATGTCTGGCCTCTGTTTATTTTATAACTACGGAAGTCTAGTCTGGTCTGTTTAAGTCTGATTTGGGGTTGAAAGCAGTTCAAGTAAAAGCATCCTAAATAGGCAAAAAATCTCAAGGCGCGCCTTGAGGTAATAAGTCCACAGTTTAAAACAATGCTTATGGGACAGAGGAAATACATGATTTTTGCTACGGAGATATTTGTTTGAAAGATTATGAACATTGAAATCACTAAAATCAATTGGACCCCTCACTTTTTACTTCGCCCAAAAAGTGCACTGTTCAAGGAGGACCCTTTAATGGGATGGATGGAGTACATTGTTTCAGGAGTGAGATATTTATGGTCCAATACAAAACAATAATGAATATCTGTAGCTTAGTAAACCGTCCTCCGTCCCAAGATGCCCAAACTAAACATGGCCTAACAGATAAATTTAGATGTGGTGTGTGCTTGAAGATTGTTATTGTTGATTTATGATATTGTTATGACTCTCACTTAGAGTTCTAAAGTTTAATTTACTGCTGAAAATGTAAAGGTATAATACTTGTTTCTGACCTATAAACTACCAAAACTTTTGGGGTCGTATCAGCATTGCACAACTTTTTTTTTGGCATTTTTCTTACCTTTACTTTTGAGGAAAGTAATATCGGTGCCAATTCTTTTATTTGTATCTACTTTTTACTAAGAATTTAATAAAGTGTATCTATATTAAGGAAGTCATCATTATATAGAACAACAACATTACCCTAGTGCCATTTTGCTTTATCCCATCATATTCTCAACCTAAAAAATAGCGACTCTTTGACTCCATTGGAAGTCATTACTATGTGTAAAGAATAGTTTCATATGCTTATTAAAATAATGAATTTTATGTAGATATTTCTCATATTATATATATATATATATATATATATATATATGTGGAAATATAATGATAATGATGAATGATTATATATATGTGGAAAGGTACATAGATGTTTTCAGAATACCCAGATATTTTGAAATATTATAATTCAAACCACAACTGTGGCTATAGATGTTTTCTAAAACTTGTAAATATCCTGAAAAACAAGAAAAACATTGTTCACTGCCTTTATGCTTCAGTACCATCAATTTCCAAAAATATTACTGGACATAGTTCGCTATCTCTATAGGTACTTTAAAGATCTCAAACACAGAATTCAAACAAATTAAGAAAAGCTAAACATGTTTTTTTTCAAAAAACAATGTTTGAGATGTCCATAATACGGAGATGTATCCATCATTTACCCACAAGTTAAAGGTAAGACGCAAAATGAGTTCCTGATATCCCTTTTAAATCACCAAAGACATGCAAAGATTAAGTTAAAGAGTTTCGAGTCTCAATTCTCATGTTCTTTGCCAGTTAGAAGTACTTCAGTTTTTTTATTACAGAGTTTCAGTAGTCAGTAGTATTTGCCTAAGGGTGTGTTTAGAACATGGAATATTCAGGGAAAGTAAATAGGGAGAAAAATAGGCAGGATATTTTGAAGGAAATAAAATGTGTTGGAAAGAAAGAAATTTCTTTGAACTTCTCCATAAAAACTCCTCTATAAATCAATTTTAAATACTTGTTCAAACTCGTATTATTTACCTATTTATGTCATATAAACACTAAGATATTAACTTATGTAAAAAAGTAAACACTAATCACATTTCTTTTGCTTTACATTTTTCGGGTAAAACCAAACATAATAAAAGGGAGATTTCCCAAAATAGGAGTAAATGGAGTTTGAAATTCCAAAATAGGACTACTATGTTTTTATTCTCGAAGTAGGACTAACATGACAATATTTACTGTCATCTTGAAGGCGTGACCGTCAAATAAGTGCAGTACAGTGCATTTAACATGATGATATTAAGTATGACAGTATTTTTCATACATGGCAGTAAAAATTCTTATTTCGGGAAGAAAAACATAGTAGTCTTATTTTGGAATTCCAAACCTCATTTACTCCTATTTAGGGTAATTTCCCATAATACAATGACTTTCATTAGCATATTGTACATTTCACTCCCAGTTCCTAGCACCAAACATAGCTTAAACATTTTCTTCCTTTAGGGTGTATGATCAAATGCCGGAACCAAGATGGGTGATATCAATGGGAAGCTGTGCAAATGGAGGAGGCTACTATCATTATTCATATTCAGTTGTGAGAGGGTGTGATAGGATTGTCCCCGTTGACATCTATGTTCCGGGCTGTCCCCCCACTGCAGAGGCGCTTCTCTATGGACTTCTCCAGCTGCAGAAGAAAATCAACCGCCGCAAAGACTTCCTTCTTTGGTGGACAAAATGAGGAAGAGTGAGGGAAAACAAATCTGTCTGCATGTTTATGGAAAAATAAATTGTACTGCATAACGTTTCGTCGTTTCCCATGTCTGAGGCAAAAGTATCACATTATAAGCTATGTGGAAGCTTTTTGTTGGACTGTTGATTGATGATGTATTATTATCAATATCTGCATATGTTTCTCATGGTTGTTAAGAACTTTGATACCCCGTATATTGAAAGATATGTACTTGTAATGTTACTACAATACTACTTGATTGATTGATCTCTATATTATTGTTATTATGTTACTACTTGATTGATTGTAACAAGAGCACTTTTATTAGCACTAAGAGAAGAAAATCATGAAAAGTGCCTACATACCCCGTATATTGAAAGACGAAAGATATGTACCTGTAATGTTACTACTTGATTGATTGATCTCTATATTATTGTTATTATGTTACTACTTGATTGTATGTACGGATATATAGGCACTTTTTACTACATTATGTCACTTTGTCACTTTGTTGGTGCATCATATGTTTCTCATGGTTGTGTTAACATCTGTCTCCAAAACCAAGACAAAATAAGAGCACTTTTAGTGACTAAAAACTGTATCGGGAAGGTCTTGACATTTTTCATATTGCAATTGTATCTTCATTTCTATTTTTCACATTGCAACTGTATCTTCATTTCTTCATTTTTCTGTCATGTAAGTTTATATCATAAAAGTATCAACATCAGTCTATGAAAACATATTTTTATATAAGATTTTACATCATCTTTCTTCTTTTAGCCAAAGTTCATAGCTCACAACTATAATAATGAATTATATTAAGATGTTTGCTCTCATAAACTTGCATCCCTTTTTGGTCAAACTTTGGTAGTGAGATCTTGATTCATGCCTCCTAACTTGCTTTGTGTTTTGATTGCTCTCTAACTTTAGTTTTGTTTTTCTTAAACAATCTCTCTCAAGTGACTGTCATTATTTGTGTTTATTTGCCTATAAATTTAAGAAGCCAATTTCTTTACTCTAAGCATTGATTTCGGAATGGCAATTTAAAATCAAATTTGATACTTATCCAAGAAACAACTATGGTCTGTTCTGTTCTAGATACGTTAAGATAACTAGTTTCCTTCTAATTTTGTTAGCTCCACGTGCATCACTTCTCAAAACTTCCATGTTCTAAATCAAGTTGGTCTGACCTGAATGATGACCTATTGGATTTGAAGTACCTTTCACTCGGGGTGGATTTGGTTCGGGGCCCCCGGCCTGTGACCCGGCCCGGCCCGGTCTGGTGGTCCGGGACCGGGTGTAGACCCGAACCGGCGGGGATAGGTAGGGCGGGTACGGTTCCTGAAAAAGGTGACCCGGCCGGGTCGGGCCCGGGTCCAACGGTCCATTTAAAAAAAAATTGTTGAGCCCCAAACTAGCCGTTATGGCCTTGGGGGTGGGGTGGGGACAACCCAACGGCTATAGGTGGGGTGCGGGGGGGGGGGGGGGGGGGGCTAAAAAAACCTATAAATACTCCTAATCTTAAACATTTTTTCATATCTCTTCTCCAATTCTTCCTAAATCTTATTCTTAACTCTCTACTCTCTAATTCTCTTATTCTCCAATATATTATATTTATTATTTATATATCTACTTTATATTAATTATCTACTTATAATTTATAAATACATACATTATAATATTATATTACTTATATTTGTTATCTAATTATATATTACTTATACATTTATTATATCTATTAATATAGTTAGAATTATATCTAATTAATTTGAAGTCATTCTATTACTCCCATCCGAAAGACCGAAAGTCCGAAAGAGGTACGAAATTATTCTATTATTTACACTTGTTTAATTTTGTATTAACGTTACTTGAAAAAAACCTAATTAATTAGGTTGTACAAATTTTTTGGTATCATGCCTGTCCCAAGCCAGGATAAAGGAGGAGGGTGTTGTGGTAGGCGCGTGACAGCCAACAGTATCACTTAGTCACATCACATGACATGAATCGAAATATGAATATCGCTACAGTCAGGTCGTCGCCCGTAAGCGACGCGTCATCCCTCCGCCTGAGGTGGTGTCAAATGGCCAAGGGCGCGCTACACTTCATAGGCCTAGGTGTGGTGATAAGAATGCTAAGGCTGCTAGGTCGTTGCCCGAAAGCGATGTGCCACTCCAATGCCCGGGGATGGTGTCAAATATGCAAGGGCATGGTGGGGGTCGATGTGGGGTGAAGAAGAGAAGGCAGCGTGTTAGATTGCGCTTTGGGACATGGAATGTTGGCTCTCTTACGGGAAGATCATCTGAGATAGCTGAGGTTATGAATAGGAGAAATATCAGCATAATGTGCATGCAAGAAACTAAGTGGGTTGGAGAAAAGGCACGCGAGATTAATCCCAGAGGTTTTAAGCTTTGGTACTCGGGGAGAGAGAGGAACAGAAATGGAGTAGGCATTATGGTGGCACATGATTATGTTGACGGTGTGGTTGAAGTGTTTAGGAAGAACGATCGCATCATGAGCATTAAGTTGATAATGGGAGATGAGATTGTGTCTGTGGTTAGTGCCTATGCACCACAAGTGGGATTGGATGCATCTATCACTCAACAAGGAGAAAAAGATATCTACAGACTTGCTCGCTTTCGTGACCGTAGGACTCAAGATATCGGAAAAGTTAACTGTGTGAAGGATGTCGATCAAAGGGTACTAATGGACGATGAAGAAATAAAAGAGAGGTGGAGGTCATACTTTGATACCTTGTTCAACGGGAATAAAGTCCAAGGTATTGATGATCTTACTATACCAGAGTGTATGGTAAATAGGGACTTCGTGAGAAGGATTCAAACAACAGAAGTTAAAGAGGCTATGAGAAAAATGGGCCGGAAGAAAGTAGTGGGCCCAGATGGCATACCGATCGAGGTTTTGAGAAGTTTGGGAGAGAAAGGCATCGAGTGGCTAACACATTTCTTCAACATGATTTGGAGAAACAACAAAATGCCAGTGAGTTTGCGGAAGAGTACTCTCATTCCCTTATTTAAAAATAAGGGTGATGTGCAAGAATGTGCTAACTATCGAGGGATTAAGCTTATGAGTCACACCATGAAACTTTGGGAGCGAGTGGTTGAGCAAAGACTACGTAAAAGTGTGAAAATTTCGGAGAATCAATTTGGTTTTATGCCTGGACGTTCAACAACTGAGGTCATTCACCTTCTTAGACAAGTTGTGGAGAAGTATAGAGACACTAAAAAGGATCTGCATTTGGTGTTCATTGACTTAGAAAAGGCATATGATAGGGTACCTCGAAAAGTTCTTTGGTGGGCCTTAACTAGAAAAGGCATATCACGTAAGTATATCAGCATCATCATGGATATGTATGATGCTTGTACTACAAGTGTCCGCACTAGTGTAGGGAGGACCGCATAGTTCCCTATTACTATTGAAGTGCACCAAGGATTTGCTCTGAGTCCTTTCTTATTTGCTTTTAGTCATGGATGAACTTACGAAGTCAATTCAAGAAGATATACCGTGGTGCATGATGTTTGCCGACGATATTGTATTGATTGATGAGACACAATCCAGTGTTAAAGCAAAGTTGGAAGTATGGAGACAAACATTGGAGAGCAAGGGTTTCAAACTGAGCCAAAGCAAGACTGAGTATATGGAGTGCAAGTTCGGTGGAGGTAGAAGCGGTAGCAACAATGGGATTACTCTTGATGGTAAGGAGATACCGGTGTGTGATATGTTCCGTTACTTGGGATCCATAATTCAGAAGGATGGTGAATTAGATGGAGATGTATGTCATAGAATCAGAGCTGGGTGGATGAAATGGAAAAGTGCTTCAGGATTTCTATGCGATTGAGGTATGCCGACTAAATTGAAAGGTAAATTTTATCGTACAGCAATTAGGTCGGCATTAATGTATGGCGTAGAGTGTTGGGCGGTGAAGCAATGCCACATTCAAAAGATGAGTGTGACAGAGATGCGTATGTTGTGTTGGATGTGTGGACATACCAGAAAAGACCGCCTGAGGAATGAGGTAATCAGACAAAAGGTGGGAGTAGCACCTATAGAAGATAAGATGCAGGAGTCTCGTTTGCGGTGGTTTGGGCATGTGCATAGAAGACCGAGTGATGCACCTGCTAGACGACTTGAGGGGTGGGGAGAAGAGTCAGAGAAGAGAGGGAGGGGAAGGCCCAAACAGACTTGGATTAGAGTAATCAGAACTGATATGCGTCTTCTTGGGTTGGATGAGAGTATGGCTTTAGAGAGAGCAAAGTGGAGGGCGCACATCCATGTGGACGATTGATGTCTTGTCTACCTTTCCTCTCTTATTTCTTTTATCATTTATCTTCCTTATCTTTTTATATTCTTATGTTATTTTTATCTTCTAGTTTTTTTATGTTCTTTTATTTATTTTTCTTTTATCTTGGTTATATTCTTGTGTTATTATTATCTTATATTTATGTATCTTTATTTTATTCATTTTATCTTACTTTTTTTTCCTTTTCTTGTCCGCCTTCTCTTTTTGGCATCGATATCATAGATCGATTCATGTTAGCCGACCCCAAATTCTTTTGGGATTAAGGCTTGGATGTTGTTGTTGTTGTTGCTACATTTGACTCTAGTTTTAAAAACTAGTTGTAATTCTAATTATAGTTAAAGTTAAAGTGTATTAATTGAATTGTTAGTAAAAAAATAGGTTGTACACAAAACTAGTTAATTCACTAGTTAATTTGCTATAACTCGAATTAATAGTTAGATTAATAGTTAATTACTTTATTACAATTTTTTATTAATTGCTACATTTGACTCTAGTTTAAAAAACTAGTTGTAACTCTAATTATAGTTAAAGTTAAAGTGTATTAATTTAATTGTTAGTAAAAAAAATAGGTTGTACACAAAACTAGTTAATTCACTAGTTAATTTGCTATAACTCGAATTAATAGTTAGATTAATAGTTAATTACTTTTTTACAATTTTTTATTAATTGCTACATTTGACTCTAGTTTAAAAAACTAGTTGTAATTCTAATTATAGTTAAAGTTAAAGTGTATTAATTTAATTGTTAGTAAAAAAAATAGGTTGTACACAAAACTAGTTAATTTTCTATAACTCGAATTAATAGTTAGACTTGGTTCTTTAGAAGAATGTTTGAATTATTCCGCATATTTATGCTGCTTATTTATACACAAAACTAGTTAATTCATTAGTTATTCACATATTCAGCATATTTATGGTATTGCATTTGTTCTCGATCCTCGTTTTAGACTTGGTTCTTTAGAAGAATGTTTGAATTATTATTATGCTGCTTTTTTTGGT